AATTTATATTTCGCATTGGATAACAATGTAGCTATTATTTCGTAAAATCTCTATAAAATGAAAAATAAGACATTGGATCTGTTCGCCCCTTAACTGTCCATTTTTAGATCGCCTTAAGAGTAATAGAAACAGATGACCAATTTTAGAACAAATAGTAAAAAAACAATACTGTGATTAATAATTAACTGTGAATTTTAATGAACATGGTTCGATAGTTGTTTGTTGGATATGTGTTACATCTTGCGATAGAGTTCAATTGATTTAGACAGTATAATTACTGAAAATCAAATTGGACCTCTGTGCCCTACCCCTACCCTTCTTTTAACAAAATACCAGATCAAGGTTATATACTATGTAATCTTTGTAAAAAAATGCCCAAAAGATTAGTATTTGTAACGGTTAAATAACATAGCTATTATTTCGTAAAATCACTTTAAAATGAAAAATAAGATATTGGATCTGCTGCCCTCTGGCTGTCCATTTTTAGCCCTTCTTTAGGATGAAATGGGGCAATTGACTAATTTCTAGAAAATAGGTAACAAACATAATTTTATAATTATGTTATTAACTAGGAATGTTAATGAACATAGTCCAGTATGTGCTGTTATGTAGATTTTTGCTTTTTTTACTATAATTACCGAAAGTCAATTTGCACCTTTGTGCCCTGCCCTACATTGCCACTTAAAAAATAATTTGATGAGCAATAAAAAAAAAAGATGTAGTACTCTAATTAATTGATCATATGATATATCACCCCAATTAGGTTCAGTATGAATTAAAAAATCAAGCTTATTGGAAATAATTAATGTAGAGCATTTACTCGAACACGACGCATGGAAAATAATTATCCGGCTAACTAACTATGACATGAAGGAATTATTCAAACAATGCAATCAAAGCATGATCAAACGGGTATCATCATTGTCAATTTAAAACCGGTACACTGAACCCTACAATTGTTTTGAATTCGGAAATATGAATATTGGTAATTTTATTGAAAGAAGAATGTCAATATGAACTTTTCAACATCATATGAATGTGAATTATCCGAAATATTCAATAGAACCATAGCAACTTTATTAACTTTTTTGAATGAGGAATAGAAATTTTTAAAATAATATCAAGGATAGATAGAAGCTCACATGTCACGCGGGTAAGAAGATTCTCCACCAATATCTCAGAAAGAAGTATAGATAAGAATTTTTTAACAACAATATTTGAAAGTAAAGGGAAAAAGTTGGATGACCAACCATCGTTTTAATTCGAGTAACTTTGCTAAAATCGTATTTTAGTTAAGCATAAAAAGAGAAAAATTTATATTTCAGCACATAGTATGATCTCAGATGTCTTTCATCTTATTTTATATCATATTTTTTCCAGTTTTATAGAATGTTTATATTTTTGCTTATTATCATTGTTTTATTGAAATTATAGTATAAAAATAAAGCTCCTTATTGTAGTATTCATTCAATTTATGTTACATAAGTATTTTCTTAGGTCATTAGTTTTTTTGATTGTTTAGTCTACGAGACCTTAATATAAATTTCAAGTTGATTGTTAATTGTTTTATAAGCTATACTGTAAATTTTAAATTAGATTCAACAGATGTTTTCATATAATCTCTGCAATATCTTACATGTGGGTAGGGTAAAAAAAACAACTGAACTTGAACCCTGGCAAAGGTGTAGAGGATAAAATATACAAATATAAAAATAAATTCAATTAAAAAATAACAATTTTACAAAAAACAAATTAATAGTTATTCCAACTCTGCTCATGAATATTTTTGATGAAAGACCAGATCAAGGTTATATACTGTAAATATTATCTCTGTAAAAAATGTACCTATGAAATGTAAAGTTTACATTGGTTGAACAATCTAGCTAATTTTTTGTAAAATTTAGATTGTATTATATTGTTTATCTCCTGCCTATGCCATTTTACCCTGTCTATAGAGAAAAAAAAACCAGGTAATAAAAATTTGTTTATTCATGCATTTGAGTTAGAACTAGAGATACGCCAAAGATTATTTTTAGGATTATTAACTAAATGGCAAAATACTTCACATTTATTGTTTCTTATTGTTTATAACACTATGTAATGTTTATTTTTGATTTTTAAAAGAAAAGATGCGATAGGATTTCGAAGAACAATTTCTACAATGATGGATTAGCTGGGAGTTTTACTGAACATAGCCAGATAGTTGTTTGTTTGATTTGTGTTATTTATTATGGTATAATTGGTTTGGTTTTTGCAATATAATTACACAGAGTCAAATTGGACAATTGTGCCCCGTCCTATCCTATTATATAGAATACTTATAAAATAAAATAATTGTTTACAAAGTGGCATTATGCTTATCATAAAGTTATTACTTTGAGCTGACGTCTTGCATAAATAATGTCAGAAAGAAGTCTGTCTATAAAGATGCGCATTACAAACCGCAGAATATTTACCTGAATATTCTTTGATGCATAAGAAATGTAATTACTCGAACGAAAAGAAATACAAATTTATCCTTCAATGGCCTAGGGAAAACTATAACCAATTATAAAGAAAATCTACTATTTGCTTCAGAGTTTTACGATGAGAACGCGCAAAGCCTGCCTGCAGCTTTAATGTAAGTCTTTCTCTTCGACGATATTGAATTTTACGAAAAATAAAAACCTAGTCGAGAGGAAAAACTAGAATAAACATGGAATTACAGTATTGGTTTCAAGAATGAAAATGCTCGCGGAAAATGCTTGGGCATGATGATATTTAAATTGGTAATTTATTGGAAAATGTGGTGTAAAATTAAATATTAGAGCTATTGGTAAAACAAATATTAGATTTAAAATAACATAGATTTGATATCGTTTCATTTAATTTTTCACATATCAAATAATTGAATCAAATCAATAAAAATAAATAACGTTAATTGGATATTTTCGAAAATGCTCTTTTGGATATGAACTGATACATGTGAAAAATGATCATTAACGAACAAGTCGATAGTCCACAATATATTTAATGAAGTTAATTTTTTTTAAGTAATATTAAATAACTATTGCTGTATTGTAATAATCATCATAAATTAATGAACCAAATGTTCCGTATAATCTAAATAGTAATCTGCGTATCTGATTCAAATAATTCTGAACATTCAAGGTAAGCTAACAAAAATGTATCAGGATTTTGTTTTTATTAGAACACTGTAATAATCTTCATGATTACGTAGACACATTTAAAAGCAATAGATTGCAAAAATTCGATTTTATTCAGTTCTATTCATGTAATTTTGAAAACTATGTGTTTTTTATCTTATGCTTCATAATATAAAATATTTTTTAGAAGAGTATGATGAAAAAGTATTTATGATGCAGTGATACAATTATAATTGTATTTATTTGTTAGAATAATTATGAGTAGCAATCTATTAAGAAAACGGTTTATGAGGTAACGTACTTTCATGGCATTTTCGTAAATATCATAAATAATATATTCTTTAAACCAATTTAATACAGCATAATTAAATAATCATTTTATATAAATGTGCATACTCATATATACACAGATATAGTCATTATAGATATGTATCAGTCTTTATATAATATATATCAATTTTAGTTTCAATTGCTAAAATAATTTTATCAATTCGTAAAAAATTGATTTTACGATATCATGGGCATTGATTTTTTATAATTGGTCTCATGTTCAATTTTCCTAGCACAAATTGGAATTATTGAAAAATAACGTTTTGTATCACATATCATAAATTGATTTTTGTGAATTATAATTAATATTTTTTCTATACTATGTTTTCATAATCTAAAACTAAAATATGATCAGATCACACAAAAACAATGGTACTTTATTCCTGAATTAATAATCGTCATATGTGTGAAAATGTATAAGGATAGTAAAATCCAATTGTATTTACACATTAGCTTCTCAAGATAGAGTAAGTTTATTACAAGAGAGATAGAAAAACTATTTGAGCCAGAAACAAATTTAGAAGTTATTGAAGTAAAACTTCTTTAGATGCGACGAGAGAATAAATCTGTAAAAATGCAACGGAAGTTGCGTTACGCTCGAACTGTTCGTTATTCGTTCTCGAGATCTATCGTTGTAAGCGTATCGGCGTACATCAACGAGGAGATCGGAATGTCAATGGATTTTAAGGTTACATCGTAGCAAAAATCTTGGTTTAATAAAAGATGCCTGCATCAGAAGAATATTTCACCCTGCCCCCCGTAAATTATTATAATGAAAATAAAAAACAAATGAAGTATTAGTGCCGTGTAAGAAAAGTAAGTTTGTTCAAATAATTTCTATATTATTCGTAGTTTCTATAAATCTTTGAAGTTATTAAAATGGACAATATTTTTCACAATGAAAAACACAAGCAGTCAATGAATGTATGTTAATTTTAATTACATGAAGTTCTTCAAACAATTACATGATGAGTGAAGTTGCGAAAACAATATTTGTTTAAGCGTTGTTTAACATAATCCACTGTGGGAACGAATATTATAGAATTAATTAGTCGGCAATTACTTCATTTTTCTAATGGAGGTTCATTTCTAAATGCTGATTACAATGACAAACCGATCATGTCATATTTGAAGTATGACTTTAACTACATTATTGTATTCAAATATTATAAATATTTTTAATGCTAGTGAAAATATATATTTTATAATTTATTATTATGTAAATATGTATAGTGGTTGACATTACTAAATGTGTGCATTACGAGTGTTACCATATTACTAATAAACATTATTCAAAATTGTTATATCATGTATTTATTTTAGCTTAAATGCCATCTCGTACTATAGGAAAAAAGTTTTATTTCAATCGCGTGTGAACCTTACGCGCACTCATTTTATTAAAAATTCTTGATAGTTGACCAATGTCAATATCACAGGTTTACAAAATTTCGATCTAGCAATTTAGGAAAGTGGATGCCGGCATGTAATGATACGTGAGAAAGTTAAGGAATTATAAACGATTACTCAAACATCTTGCAAACTGACTTTGATAAACGAATTTACTGTCCAATAATTCAGTGAAAAATTATATAAAAATAATTAATCTCTTACCTTCTTCTGGTCCTCGCCTCTTGGCATCATTCTTATTAGGCGTTGGCAGCTCCTTGCTGTGTCCTTTTTCTCTATTATGATGAGGCATGACTACTGGAGCAAATTGTGCAGGTGGTTCAACCACTTGTACTAATTGTTGAGGTTGTTGAGGCATAACTTGATGATGAACAACATTCGGATGTGAACCTCGGTCATCTGCATACATTACAATTGCTACCACAAACCACGCCGCACTCAGGAGTCCAACTGCTTTTAGAAGCATTGAACGTCTTCGTAGTAAGAAACCCATTTTTATTTAAATTTATAACTATTATTTACACACTACTAATTAATCACTTAAAGGATCCGATGATAAATTTGTATATAGTCTTTTGATATTGTTGATATTTTCACTTCTACTAATATCATTTAGATTTCATATCACACTGGAGCAAACGAGTTAAAAATTGTTATTTACTCCTTGAAGTTTCTGCAGCAATTTGTTCCACTTACAAACTTTAAAATCACGTCCAGAGCTTTCTGGGGAAGAAGTTTGTGCTTACCAATATCATTTATACTCTTCTAATACTGATGAGTGATAATTCTAATATAGATATGAGTAATTCTTTGAAATGTGAAGTTGCTTGTATTGATATGTGGTAGGTTTTATTCAAATACATTAATATGACGTTGTTGTTCTGTTTAAATGCATATAAAATCCTCTTTTTGATATCATTTGTGTTTTGTGATATGTGTCATTTCATACTGATATGTTTCACGTTGACATGTGATCGGTGTATCTGAAACAAAAGAGAACAAAATATTAAAATGTCATTCATATATGGCAAATATTTATTTTTTCATATTAGTATATACGTAATACTTATATATAAATGTGTATTCCTATAAAAATATGTTTATAAAACAAGAAACAAAGTTATGCAAGCATATAATAATAATAATAATGGGTAGTACTGCTCTAAGGCAGGTCCGTGAGCTGAGTTAAACTCCAACTCGATTCAAGAAAGATTAGTGCGAGATTTTCCATTGCCCTTTCATACCGCAGTGCCTAAAATAGGCTATGCTTTATTGGATTGATGTATAATTACAAGTGAAAATTGTTATCACTGCTGCATGATATCCTGAGCGGAGGTTCGACCTTACGATTCTGTCCATACAAAGCAGTGAATTTTACAGTTACACCATTGAGTAACCAAGCAACTTGATAGAGTACTTTTTATTCATTTATAATAAACAATTAGAAATACAAATTTCTATGAGTCTATGTGACTCACTAAATATCTAATTTAGAGATTCAGAGAGTAGATTAGACATTGAGAGATTCCTCTGTAGATAATGATCTGTGTTAGTATAAAAAACCATGCTTAACTTAAGTTAGTACGTCTTATGGCCATTTTTTGACTCTTCTGGTTGAAGCCTGATTAATGCTTTGGTCTAATTTCATATAGATATAGTATATTGCAAGTTATTTATTAGTATGTGAAATATTATGAATTACATCATTGTCATATTATAGTACTTGAGTAATAGTAACAATGAAATGAAAAATTTTGTTATTAACAATTTCACTGCTAACCTTGTGTTGCTTATACTTTTACCTGTGCTAATTATTTTTTCGGTTTAATATTAAATGAAACTATGTCCAAACATGTAAGCTACATAGATTATGGTTAATTGGAAATAAAAAATTGTACCAGAAGAGAAGACTATCCCTGTTTAAAATAACTACATACCAAAATTTTAATTCAAAAATTTTATTTTACTAAAAACACTCCTCTAAAGTACAAGGAGGATGTTGGTTTTGACGTCTGACTATTGACAACGGTTTCACGCAACATATACGTGCGCAGCAATAAATGTGTGAAGCAAGTCAGACACAAAATAATAATAGCCATATTTAAACATATACTTTCTTTCAAAAGTAGTATATATTGATGTAAAAATCACTATCACTTAATACAAATGAAAGAGGTAACATAACTTCTGAACATAGAAATGTCTAAAAAATCGATTTTGTCAATTTATTGAATATAAACCAAGCACTCTATCTAGATTGATTTCTTCATCATGAATATTAACTACCCGTAGAGTTATACAGTTATAGTAATCGTCCAAAAATCTAAAATGAATTTTTTTGCTATCTTTACGTTTTAATAGTTTCTGAGCAGAATATCAGATTTGAATGATTCCAAAATTATCCAATTTGTAATGATGAGTAGATGTGTGATTAAGTTTGGCAATGATAAGCCCAGCTGTTTCAAAGATAAGGAGCTAAAAGTGTTAAAAAAATTACAGTTTTTGAGAGAACAGTTTCCGATTCGAATGATTTAAAAACCTTTTTGCTTGTAAATAAACTATTAGCTTAGGAAAGCATATTTTTTCATGAAAAAAAGTGCGCGTAAGGTACTATCATTTTTAACTTCCCGTAGGGCAAGTTACTATAACTTGAATGAAAATTTTTGCATTTCTCGACGTTTCAAAGGTTTCTGAATATTTTGGCATACCTTAGAAAAAATGGATGTATGTGTATGTGTGTGTGTGTGTGTGTGTGTGTGCGTGTGTGTATGTGTGTGCGGATATAAATTTTCGTCGACGATTTCGGGAACACCGATCAACCGATTTGAATAATTCAAAAAACATTTGATTCGTATTGATAAGGAGACGTGCTGATTAGTTTTTGGCGAAGACAGGTCTAGCCGTTCCGAAGATACGGGGCAAAAAGTGCCGAAAACGGTAACTCAGTTTTTAAGAGAACGGAGCGTCCGATTTTAATAATTCAAAAAACATTTTACTTGTATTGACAAGGTGAAGAACCGATCAAATTTTCATAAAGGCAGGTCTAGTGGTTTCGGAGATCTAATGAAAAAAGTAAAAAAAAAATGCCATTTGGCGGTCAAAAATGATCATTAGACATATGCACATCAAACTAGCTGTAAGTGGAATTCTGTCTTAAGGCAACTAGGGCATCGTGCCTTAAGGCAAATTGCTGGAACTTCCCGTACCAATAATTATTATTTTTTTTTAAAACGATTAACATTTTTGAAAAAAAATTACTTTAAAAAAATAAGATTTTTGAGAAACTAAATTGGACAAAAAATTAGTTTTTTTTTGAAAAAAAAAAAATTTAAAAAAAAATTTTTTTTTAAAAATTTTTTTTTTTTTGAAAAAAATTTTTTTTTTCATCATTTTGACATATTGTGGAAGATCTGAACTTTTTTTTCAAAGCAATCGTACTGCTTTAACTACATAGGAACAAAATATAAAGCGCGTAAGCGCCGCGTCGCTGTCTAACGCATAATCATTGGTACGGAACCGATAGGAATGTTAACAAAATGTATACTTATTGTTAAAATCTCTATAAAATGTCTGATAATTTGATGTGCATATGTCTAATGATCATTTTTGACCGCCAAATGGCTCATTTTTTTACTTTTTCCTCTATATCTCCGAAACCGTACATACATCCATTTTTTCTAAGGTATGCCAAGATGTTCAGAAACCTCTGAAACGTAAAGATATATAAAAATTTTCATTTTCGATTTTTTTGCGATTACTATAACTTGCCCTACGGGAAGTTAATTATCAGATATTTTATAGAGATTTTAACAATAAGTATAATTTTGGTTTACATTCCTATGGGTTCCGTACCAATGTTTACGCGTTAGACGTCGACGCGGCGCTTACGCGGTTTGATATTTCGTCTTTATGCAGTTAAAGCAGTACGACTGCTTTGAAAAAAAGTTTAGATCTTTCAAAATATGTCAAAATAAAAAAAACATTTTTTTTTCAAAAAAAAAAAAAATAAATAAATAAAAAATTTTTTCAAAAAAAAGTAATTTTTTGTCTAATTGCTTGTCAAAAATATTATTTTTTCGAAGTATTTTTTTTTCAAAAATGTTAATCGTTTTTAAAAAAATAATTTTTGGTACGGGAAGTTCCAGCAATTTGCCTTAAGGCACGATGCCTTAATTGCCTTAAGACAGAGTTCCACTTACAGCTAGTTTATCAATATTTTATCAATAAACGAATAATGAAAGATACAATATTTATAACAATCTATTTGAAATCATGACTATTTTATTATGGTAAGTGAAGTTTCAGTAATTTGCCTTAAGGCACAATGCCATGCACCACTAGTTGTTATAGTAATTAGTAATCAAATTAATGATTCCACAATAAATTTAGCCAGAGATACATAATTGCGAACATAATAATTCATCAGTATATTTTACATAAGTGCAAATTAATATGGAACTGAAAAGCATGACAGGGTTCAGCTTGTACATAATATGAGTAAACAAATACATGACATCAAATAGCACATATTGTTCTGGATATTTTACAATGGGCAAATAATAAACAAAGGTCCGTTGTATTGTGCACCCGGCAGCAACATCTAATAAGGATATGTTCACAGAGCGTGTGGGCTTTCATAAAGCATATAGGTCCATTTTCAAACAACGGTAAAACTAAAAGTTTTATGTATAATCTGGACTCCAGGGGATTCTGGTAGTGCAGTTGCTTATAACCGGTAGTTGGTAGCATTAACTTCTTGAACACGGCAAAAGTTATTTAGGAAGTAAACTAAACGGATAACGAATTGTTCCAGAATGCTCATTTGTTTAAAAAGTAACGCGAAGCTAATTACAGACTCTGCTGGTTAACGAGTTCTGCCCTGGATGAAATGAGATATGTCTTGTGCTGAAAATAGTTTAATTGCATAACACTTTGCAGGTATAATACAATGATGCTGTAAATTTTGAGAGCTTGAATAATTGATTTATGAGAAGTCAAAAAACGCAAACAAATGTATTTTGCATTTGAAGTAGAAATAACACTGGCTGATGATGATTTGACTATATTGTATTTAAATTTACTAGATGTCGAGTGAAGACAGTTGTAAAGTATATGATGAAAATAAAAAAAAATTAGAAGTTGGTAACCAGGTAATCCCATAAATCAGGACAATATGAGATATGGCGAGGATATGGTGAGTTCGATCAATGACAGGAAAAAATCTGTTCTGGTTCTAAATTTTTTCTATTTTTTTTTTAATTTTAATTTGCAATCTGTGTACTATGTATAATTACATTTAGCAGATAATGCTGACAAGTTGTTTACAAATTAGTAGATACCCCCAGTGGCGTATCTACTAGAGCTAATATAATGAAAAATAGTTAATTGAACTATATTGGTCCTCCAGATATTGTTCTTTTGAGTCTGGCTATAAATTATAGACAATTTACAAATCTCCAGAGTAGGGCTTCTATTGCATTTATCATAATTTCATATAATGATTAAATTGGATTTCATTTATAAATAGCTGAAAAAATAAACAAGTAAAATAATGTTAAGGTTAGTAATATGAGTACTAATTGGAGACAATATAAAAATATTTTAAAAAATACCAAGACTTCATACGGTTTAATGGCGTTCAAATATATTTGGGATAGAACACCTTGGTTACCAACTTATTATATATTTTGGGTCTTAAGTGTTAAATTGATCAGTTTTAATTTGAATAGAATAAAGCACACTGTGTTTTAAATTCTCACCAACATCATATTGCATTGATTCATGATCATGATGTATTTACTTAGGCAGTATCACTGGGGTAATGTATAATAGTAATATATAATCAATCGATATTTTGATTTTATCTTTGCAAAAATTGATTAGAAGTGGCATTTTAGAGAAGTGTATGAATAGTACTAAACCAGATTTTGTTTAAATTAATAAAGTCATTAATTAAATTTCGAATTGTAGACATCATACCAAG